AGTTCGCACAGCTCTAATTGCTATTATGCTGATTGGTTTTGGATATTGACTCCCTTTGGATTGATAAAAACCTCAAGATCGGTTTTTAGTGCATCAAATTCCGAAAACCTTTCATCGAATTCTCTTTTTATTTATGTATGAACTTTTACAAACTTCGAGAAATCGACCATGATTTCTGCTTGATTTATTTCAAAACATATAGGAAATTTTGTGAGGTCGTTTATTTTTATGCAGTTTTTGAAAAGATCAAGTTTTTTGCAAAATATTCCAATTTGACCAACCAACTGTAATACCATCTTATTTTTTCCCTAGAGTTGTAGGTTTATTATGTTTAAGTGAGAGGTAATATCTGTTAGAAATGCCAGTTTATGAAGAAATATATTGTTCTTAAACTTTGTGATAAATACGTCCGTGTTAATAACTATTTTTGTTTCAAAAAACAGTGAGATTTCTTTTCTTAAAGAAAAAAAATTTTCTAAGGCATTTACCTGCACTCAATTCGCGTATCTCTGAACGTCCTTATATTTAGTATTTAGTTTCTTTAAGAAAGAGATGAATTTTCGGTGTCACTAAGCTGTGTTTCCTCCTGTTAAGATGTTTACTATCTGCACTACAGTTTTCATAGTATCGTTTATTTTAATTATCTTTCCGCAGAGAGCCTCTTAATGGATAATGCAATGAAAAATAACACAGTTAACACGATTTTCCTGCTCCAACCAATTCCGTTATGCGTCCCGTCATTGCTTTTGCTCCGTCGCGCGTCGGTGCAAACCCAAGAGCACTTTCGAAAACCACCTATATTTTTCACAGCGTCACTAACTTCTTCAAATATATTTATACCTTTGGTCCCCTCTTCCATATGGTGCAGTATTAGAAGTTCCTCAGTTACACAAAAATCTTCACTGATGCATCTAACAAAACTTAACTGATTTTTGTCAATAATATCAACAGATTCGTCCAGTGCTAAGAAGTAGTACAAATAATCACGAATTGTGTCGACCATTTTTTTAAATACATGAGGATTCAGCTCATCAACTCTTCTAGATACTTTTTTTTTTTTAATTAAAAATAAATTCTTGGTGGCTTCATTCATGTACTCCTAGTAAGTATTAACCACATTGTTCTTTAACCTTAGTCAAAATTTTAACCTATGTTCTTTTTAATTAAGTGGTTAACTATTTTCTAGGACACTGATGATGGAACATGGTTTCCGAAAACGTTTTGTCTTTTTAACTTAGCCCGTTTGGGCCTAAAATATACCTATTACAAAGGATTTAATTAAATTTTTAATACATGGTATACAGCCAACTACAGGAACGTAGATTCCTTGTGGATCTTCTAGATACAGTTTAATCGAAAACTGAAACACATTTAAAATTTTTGGCCATCTTTTCATCTCCAAAGGATCACGTACCTTGGAACGTACGATTCTCTTTATGAATTTAACATTTAATTTATTTGCCACTGCTAATTCAACACGACACGTGCAGCTGACTGAAACTAACTGCCCGCTTATCGGGAATGGGTGTTCAAGGTTAACTACTTTTTTAAGATTACGCAAAGTTAGACAGGGTTGGAACGGGAAAAAGTTATCAAGGGCAATATTTTTGAAATGTGTTTGCGGGGGTCGCAGTTTAACGAGCCTCGGGCAACATGCGGCCCGCGTGCCTGAGGTTGGACTACACTGAGTTTCTTTACTTTATTATGAAAATACATGACAGCAGAGTTTTTTAGCAGTAAATTAAACATATTTATGTAATTTATAAAATGATTATCATGTTTTTTGCACGAGATCACTTAGTATGTTTTTTTGTCGTTATGTGTAAAAATCTAAAAATTGTTGATGTTATAGAAGAAAGACTCACCTATTATTATAATATTATAGAACGTTATAAAAACACCTAACCTACCATTTTTTTAAATTTACAGATGGGACGTTACCACGTGGCCTTTCCTTGCGAGTGCGGTTCCCATTATTTTTATTTTTATTCCAATATCATGGGCTGAATACCTATACAACAAATATATAGCTTCACATGGTGACGAAACACCAAGCAATTTTCTATTCAAAGGTATCTATAAGATGTCGGGTGTGATGACCAACAGTTTTGCTGTGAGACTGATCATTTTTTTATTCGTCTACATAAGTTTTTTGATCTGCGTTATGGGCGAAGTAGTAAGTATGTTTTTTATCTATTAAGTCAAAAGATACGAATTTAGTAAATATATATGCAACTTTTCATTAAGAAGTTTCTTTTACATCACTAATCATAGGTGTACCAATCTTTCATGACAAACAATATTAAGAATTTTAATTCTACTGTTGTAGTTGGACTGCAGGGAGACTTTAGAGGAAGAAATTGACATCCATAATAGCACTACTTTTAAAACAAGCTTTTTAAATATATTACTCTATAAGGATGTTTATAATTTGAGTATGCTCAACTGCGTGCTTCCTTGGGTAAGTAGAAATTCTTAGTAAAAATACATTTTATTTAAATCTATACATACTTAAGACATTGCATACAAAGTTTGGAAGGAAAAATTTGCAGAATTCCAATACTGAATTTATTAATATATAATAATTAAAAAGCAGTCTTAAATCAAAAAAATTAAACTCTTTTGAGATGTGGTGCTACAAGAGAATTCACAGAATATTATGGACTGAAAAAGTAGCTAATATAGAGGTGTTACAAAGAATGAAGAAGGAATGTGAAGTCATAAAAACTGTTGAAATTAGAAATATTTATTATCTGGGTCATATAATGAGGAGCGAAAAGTACGTATTACTTAGGTTAATTATGCAAAGGAAGAGAAACCCAGGACGACGCAAAATATCCTGGCTAAGGAATTTGAGAGAGTGGTTCCGTTGCAGCTCATTAGAAGTAATTAGAAGCGCGGCCAATAAAATTAAATAGCGATGATGATTTCCAACCTCCGATAGAAGAGGCAACCTGAAGAAGAATACTGAATTTGTCTATACTTTGTTTAAAAATGAATAATAATACAGTTTTTATAACGCAGCAGATGTCGTAAATCAATGATAAAGAATTTCAAATTATGTGAAATTTTCTTGTTGCTCATTTGCGTTTTAAGTTGTATGGTTTTTTAAGTTTTTCCGTTTTTTCACATTGCTTTTATAAACAAATAAACCTTGATCACAAAATTATTATTGCTGTTAAAATAGTAAGTTAAAACAAATGGCAGCAATACAGAGCTCCACGAATAAACTAGTCTAAATAATGCTACACAAAAACTAAAAAGAGAGATACAGAATATAAAAAATTCAACAATTTCTTTCTTTTACAGTTATTTAACAGCTGACCAAAACACAGATTATTCGTTATGGAAGGCAACAAAAAGAATGAAAAGACCAATTATTCATTTAAAACTGAAAGCAGATCAATTTGCAAATCACTTAGAAAGCACGTTTAAACCCAACGACAATAACGGTAAAGAATTGAGATGGAAAGAACCATTCCAAACAAAAGAAAGAATAACGTTGACATCATTTAGAGAAGTATCAATAGAGATAAAAGAGAATATAAATCCTAAGAAAGCTCCAGGATATGATCTCATAACAAGACAACTACTAAAAGATCTACTAAGAAAAGCTATAGTTTAGCTGTCACACCTAATAAATGCTGCTTTTAGATTGAGATATATTCGCAGACTCTTCTTCTATTGACAAGATTAAAACCAATAATAGAAAGAAAATTGACTTATACCAAATCATCAATTTGGTTTCAGAAATAAATATTCCACTATAGATCAAGTTCCCAGAATAACGAATAAAATAGAAAAAAAAACATTACAAGAAACGAAAGTCTACTCTACAGTCTTTTCGGACGTAGCACAGGCGTTTGATAAAGTCTGACCTAAGGGTTTAAACTATAAACTAAGAACTTTCATGCCTAAACCATATTTAGAAATCTTATAATCTTACATTGCGAATAGATATTTCAGGGTAAAACAAGAAGTGTACACTGACTTAAAGGAGATTAAAGCTGGCGTGCCACAAGGAAGTGTATTAGGTTTGGTCCTGTACCTATTGTATACGTGTGACATTCCAGAGCTAGAAGAAAATACTATTTCCACCTTTGTAGATGACACAGCCATGCTAGGAGACACTAGTAAAGAAGCGACTAATAAATTGCAAACTATCAGTAAATAAAATACATACGTGGACCAGAAAATATTGAATAAAATTAAATAAGACTAAATCTGCACACATTAACTTTACAAATAAAGCAATAGAAAATTTCCCATTTAGAATAAATGATGCCCAAATTCCTTATGGAACATAAACAAAATACTTAGACAAAATCATACTATTTTTTAATACTACCAAATGATACTATATAATTCCATATATTTTTTTTATTTTTAGCATATGACAGAAACATGTGCTATGACTGTGATCATGACGTTTTTATTTCTAAGGATCTTTATTTGGATAAAACTGTTGTTAGCAACGATAACCATTAGCTTCTATGCCTATTGCGTGCTTAGTGTCAGCAAAGGATATTATAAGGTAGGTATATCTTTATTTATAAAAATCTCTTTGAGGTCCTACGAAGGTCTCATAGGTAAAAAAAGACGATAAAATTATAAAGAGAGTAGTAGAAACAGTGGTTTTATTTTAAATATTATAATTTTATTATATTTAAGTTAATAGAAAAAACTGCGAAAACTATCGGGGAATCAGCATTATATTGTCTATAGGCGGACTGTATGGAAAGACCATAAAGGAAAAAATAGAAATATATATAATATATATATATACAAGATAAAATCGGAGAAGACCAGGTAGGTTTCACAGCGGGGAAAGCATGTTTAGATCACATTTACACGGTCGAACAATTAATAGAAAAAAGAATGGTCAAAAATAGATCCGTCCATCTGGCTTTTGTTGATCTTAAGAAGGCATATGACTCAATACCTATATGGGAAGCAATGGAAGACATCAAAGTTCCACAAAGATTAATAAACGCGGTAAAAGCACTCTACAAGAATAACGAAGTAGCTATCAAAACGGGCAATAGAATATGCAGTCCATTTAAGATGACAAAGGGACTACTACAGGGTTGCTCCACATTCCCCACCATGTTCAAAATATTCCTGGAAAAAACCCTGAAACCATGGAAAAGAAAGTGCGAAGGAATGGGTATACCAGTAAGGAACGAATATCTATATACGCTAAGTTTTGCTGACGAGCAAATAGTGATCGCACAAGACGAGGATGACCTTAATTTGATGATGGACATCATCAGGAGCAGGAATATACAAAGAATAAGATGGAAATAAACCTAAAGAAAACTGAATAACTAACAACGGAGAACACAGAAATAAAACAGCTGGAAATAGACGAAGGTAAACAAATCAAAGGAACAGTCAAGTATAAGTATTTAGGTTTCATAATATCAAACAAAGGAACAACGGAGGACGATATAAAAAATAGACTAGAACAAACAAGAGACTGAATACGAAAATTGAACCCGGGTACTATGGGGTAAGAACATCAGCATGAAAACAAAGAAAAAAATATATAATACCATGACAAGAAGTATCCTCACTTATGGGTGTGAAAATTGGACAATAAATAAAAAAACAAAAACAAAATAAGAGCAACAGAGATGGAATTCCTAAGGAGAAGCTGCAGAGTAACAAGAAGAGATAGAATAGATAACATGGAGATTAAGAGGAGAATGGGCATGAACTCCGACATAATAGACTACATTAAACAGAAGAGGTTAATCTGGTACAAACATGTCAGAAGAGCAGACCAAAATCGGTGGATAATTAGAATAATAGAGTGGAGCCCGATAGGAAGAAGAAAGAGAGGCAGACCCCGAAGACCTTTCAGAGATGAAGTGGACGAAGCAATGAGAAGAAAAAACCTACAAGAAGTGGACTGGCTTAACAGGAAAAATTGGAGGAAAAACGGTTGAGTGAAGAATACAGTGAAAATTATGGAAATCCTTGTATATATATATAATAATAACACAAATTGAAATTTTCAAGTAGAGGGTTTATTAATATAACCGACAAATTTTTATGCATGCAAATCAACGCGTATGAAAAAATTTGAGCTTCTCTATTATTTTTACTGGACTAATTGTAAAGCATATCAAAATGCTTTTTAAATTTAATGATCACATCTTTTGTGAAACTTGTAACCACATCTTATAAACCACCATCTTCTAATTTTGTTTTAGGACAGCGAAACTTTTAACCATCTTCTCGATCCCCAAGTTGCGCATATCATGTCAACGGTTTTCTTGATTGTCACTTTGCATTTAGTAGATCGACAGACCGATTACATGAATCGACTGGATTATCTGTTAAATAGAAAATTCAAATTCGAACAAGACGAGGCAAATTTACTACAAAAAGTCAACGAGAATTTGTTAGTAAATATTTTGCCAAAGCATGTAGGTATGTATTTATATTGAGATGACTTAAATAACTAAGTATGGGGTGAGAATTGTTTAAAAATATTTTACATTTAACAACTTAATTTTCGAAAATAATATGAAAAATAGGAATGACAGTTGTTGTTAAACTTTCAGTAGACGCAGTTTAATTTTGTGTATTAGTAGTGGCACATGGTCTATTAAACCGATCATATAAATATTACCACAAAAAATATTCACAATTTTTGTAATAGTTTGATTTATTCTTTTTTTACTTAACAAATTAAGTAATATAAATACATAATTTAAAATAAAAACATAACATATCATTATTCGAGAACTATCTTAACAAAAATAAAACATTATTTCACTAAGACTTATCATACAAAAATATAAGAGATGGCAAAAAACATAATAAAATTAGGCCGGAATATTGTTACAGTCTTTGCAAATTGGATTTACATGTTCCAGCAAAGATACTTTTTACAAATCGAACCCAAATATTGCTACAGCTTTTTGTGCAGTTTTATGTTAATACGATTTTTGGTTTTCTAGTTATAGGATCAACGTCGTCCCCATGGTAAATAGTTTATACGAGACTAGTGTTTACCCTAAACCAAACCCAAATTTACTAGAGCCAATAGGTTGTCTTTGATTGTTAGAAAAATATGCAGGAATTTTTTTTATGTACGTTTATTGTATACAAGAAAGTTAAATCATTTTCTTTCAAGCTTATATCAAGATAAACGCTGGTGTACCAATTGTCGCTGGCAATATTTCTCTTAGATCTGTAGACATTTTGACAGGCTTATTTCGCCACAGCCTTGGTACTAGTGTCTAGAAAGTATAAATCACCCACTTGGTTTTTGACAACGTATACTTTCATGTTACTGGTATGAAATATATTTTCAAAACTAACTCTTTCATGCCTTGTATTGATATCAACAGTTCGCGTGTACCTTAGTAAATTTCTGAATCTCGTGATAATCATTGTCAGTCGGAAAATCTCTATACCAGTGTCGTCCGTTTTCCACAAGTCTGTTGTATTAAGGTGACTGGCCTTTCCTACACCTGCAAGATATAAGAGACCTAAAAGGGCATGAATTTTATTAATGTTTGTTGGCCACATACCTCAATCGCGAGTGAACTTTTGCTTTTCTACTTCTATTTTTGTATTAATCACACTAACAATTATTTGCAACATATCAGTATCAAATAAATTGTTCCAGATATCTAAAATATCGGTTTTCTCTATGACACATTGTTTTAAACCCGGAAGCTGCAGAACGATGTTTTCACTTCGAGCTCTGACGTTCTTAGGGGCAATATGCTTGGGCAAATTTGTTTTAATACCTTTATAAAAAAACATGGACCAATGGCAAAATCTGTTTTATTATCTAATTTCTTTTTAGTTTTTTTTATTAAATTTTGTAGATGTTCACAACCAAACCGAGATACACAGAAAAAAGAAAATAGCAGTTGGAAAGGCGTATGTGTAAAATACTTTGTAAAAAAATCTGATTGCTATAAATTTTATATTCAGGTTTGTCAAAAAACATTTTTAAACATTCCTAATATTTCTAAAGCTAGTGTCCAAAGAATTGCAAAGCAACATCTTGAAACCGGACTTAGTCCAGAGAAAAACGTGGTGGTAATCGCATAAGCAAAATATATGAAGAAAAGCAAGTGGCCGTTAGAAAATTTCTGGAAAGTTTAAAAGGTATCGAAAGCCATTACTGCCGTCCAAGTTAGCAATATTTGTCTAGTCATTTAAATATATCCAAACTTTGAAGGCTTTACAACCAAGATGCTACTATTGAGGTAAAAAAACTTTTTCCATCATATATTTTCAAGAAAGTACAATATTGGATTTGGAAGTCCAGTAGCAGATGCTTGTTCGAGATGCTTTGAGATTTCTGAAAAAATTAAATTAGAAAAAGACCATAGTCGATAAAAAGGAACGTTTAATAGAGAAAAGGGTATAAGCTAAAAGCCAATCCTTTTTTTACTAACTTAAGAAGTTAGATCCCAATTGAATAACCTATTCATTAGACTGTCAGAAGAATTTGGTCAATCTCAAGGTACCTGACCAAATTGCCTATTACAGTAGACAGTTTTATACAACTATAACTTAACTGTGGTGCAAGAATTTTTCAGAGCAAAAATGTCTAAAGAAACCGTTCATATTTATACTTGTTAAAAATGATAAAAATCATTTTTCCTGTTCCTGGACATTCATATTTACCACCTGATAGGGTGTTCGAGCGAATTGAAAAAGAATTAAAATAAATTTCGACCACCATCGATCCTAAAATATATTTGGACCTATTTAAGGATCACGGCACCATAAGAAATTTATGGCAAGATTGTTTTGTTATGGACTAGAAATCTGCTGTTGGTGATTATCTAAAACCCGTGGGCTCCTAGCATTTTAAGTTTTCCGATGCCAAGAGATTTATACCTACAAAAAATCGTAGTGAAAATGTTATGGTTCAGAGAGAACCTTTCTATTGCTCGGACACTGAAATACCCACGTCAATTTAAAAAAAGGCAAAAAGTTGGAGCATCTTTCTCAAGAAGTAATTCCAATGGGTGTACCAGTAAAACCTACCAAGTTAACGGCTGTAAACAATTTACTGGAGAAGCATTTTGGAAGGGAATGGAAAACTAGGGGGAATGTTTTCGAGGGAATAGCGCAACCATTGATAGGTCCTAATTCTGAAGAAGTACTTGAGGAAGACCATGTTTGTGAGCTAGTGAGAATAGGAGACGATAAAGACTTAAGAATTTAGTTTACAATATGTTATATTTTGCTTGAAATAATGTTTTTAAACAACAATAAAAAATCTTCCTCCATAAACCCATTGGGATTTTTTTTTGTAGAATAATTTGCCAAAACCAAATTGACGGATCAAAACTTGCCTTATCCATTTTTGTTTATTTTTTTAACAAAATGATAATATTGTACGTTTAAATAAATTAATGTTTATGTTTTCTTACATTTTATTGCATATTAATATTTGGTGTATCTTTTAGCCTGTAAAAAAAATAACTTCGGTAAAGGTTTTCTCGATTTTACAAGAAAACTTTATAACGTGAATAAGACAAGTTTTGATATGTGACGCCTCACTTATTCTAACCAAAAAATAGGTACAGAACCGAAGAAACTCAAAAGCTTCCGATTGATTTTAGAATTGACCGTGATTGACTCCCACCGATCTCCTAGACAAGCTGTGTATATTGAAAGGTTAATTGACTGCTATTTGATACAACTTACCATTTAAAATTATAAGTATAAAATTTACCATTTCTAGTAGACCGTCACGATTTATCCCTTTATGTCTTTTTTGTGTACTGAAAATGTGTTAAGAGGTAATCAAAAAAAAGGAAAGAGAATTTAGAGATGTAAAAGACTATTTTTTATATTATTTACAGATACTTATTCTAACAAATATCCTCCAATTTATGTTTAAAAACTAATAACCTAACATCGTACAACTTCACTGACAAGAATGTTTATAAACAGATACAAATATACCTTTCATTTTTTTCCTTTTTGTTGGATATATATTTTTCCATTTGATCTTTGATGAATACTCATATAATCTATGGTAATAATTCAGGAAATCTATTACGTAATCTAAATTTTAATTAACAAAATCACCGGTCAGAAATAAAACCCTTTCCCGTTGTTTCAGCGAATCTGTATCTGGATGTGAGCCGAGAACAAAAAGAGTTGTATTTCGAAGAGCATGATAATGTGGCTGTTATGTTCGCATCAATTATAACCGAGGATGAATTGCAGCAAATTTTAGACGAGAAGGAATTTTTAACGTTAATGAACGCTTATATACTGAAGTTCGACGTGGTTAGTATATTTCTATTGTTAATATAATTGGAAAAGTAAACAAGTATGGTAATTTATCAGCAATAACTCAAAACAATTTCAACTAGAGTATTAGAAGATTTTAACGACTAGCAAATTATGTTCTATTGGTTTTATTACTAACTCTCAATAATATTGCAGAATTATAATAGTTGCCAATAAAAGCAACTTTATATGCTGACGATTTAATAGTTTACACTAGAACTCGTTATATCTTTTTTGCTAAAAAAAATTCTTGTCATTTCTTTACAAACTGGAAATACAATCATAAAAAAGTAATTTTGGTGTTTTCAGTTTTCTTCTTTAAGTTCCATCCAGTTAAGGTTGGAAATCATCTTGGCTATGCGGACCATTTTGACTAGCGCTCTAAAGAATTCTGCACTACTACATTAAAATCATTCCCTCAAGTTTTTAAGCCACAATATTCTTCGTCTTTAAAGTTTGGAAAATGGAAAAAGGCGTAAAAATATAGTTACATAAGGCCTGAACATGGATATAAATGTCCCAAAGACTCTAAAACATGAAATAAAAAAATTTATGCAGGTAGAATTAACAGTCAATGTTCAAATAGAGCAGGTTGTGACGCTGGGAGGAAAAGTCTGTCTGGTTGAGCTTAAAAATGAAGAGGACAAAAGAAAAGTCACGCGATACAAAAGCAAATTAAGAAACCTAAGAAAAAGTCTAGTTTATATCAATGATGACCTGTCAAAGATGGACAGAATTGTACAGGAATACATCAGACAGAAAGCACAAGAACTAAGAAATGAAGGGAGAAAAGTGAAAGTAGGATATAAGAAAATATATTCCGATCAGGAAATATGGCACTGGGATGGCATGACCAAACGTTGGTGATAAAGACCAAAGCAAAAAACTAAGCACCAGCATGACAAGGAAAGTAATGAAGACGAACAGTGTGAAGAAAAGAATTACGAACTATGAAAATGAAACAAAACACGACAGTAATACAAAGGTAAAGCCGAAAAATGACAAGATATATTTAGCTACATGGAATGTCAGAGGAACCTTTTATGAAAGTGCGCTAAAATAACTAATAAATGAGGCAAGGAAGTATAAAATCGATTTAATGGCTCTTCAAGAGACAAAACAGTATGGATTAAATATAACTGATATAGAAGATATGATGCTCTTTAAAAGTAAAGGTAAAGATAGAATGCTTGGAACTGGTTTTTTGGTAGCAGAATGTATCAGGGACAAAGTGATAGCTTTTAATCTTATTTCTGATAGGATCTGTTCAAAAAGAATTAGAAGTAAGAAAAGGAATTGGAGTATAATCAATATTAATGCACCGTCAGAAGACAAGGACGACGAAATCAAAGATCTTTACTATGAACAGTTAAATGAGGAATACGAGCGCCTACCTTAACTACCTTAACGTAATGTAAAAATAATAATAGGTGATTGTAATGCTAAAGTGGGAAAAGAACTTATGTACAATGCAGTAACTGGTAACTATAGTAAACACGAAGTAACAAACGATATTGGACAAAGACTTGTTGGATTTGCCATGGAGAAAAACATGGTGGTGAGAAGCACACAACTATAACGAAAAGAGATATACAAAGATACGAGGGTCTCTCCAGATGGAAGGACGGTGAATTAAATAGATCATGTTATGATTGAAAGTAAATATATAAATACCATTCAGAAGGTAATAAGTATGAGAGGAGCTGAAATCGACTCGGATCTTTACTTCGTTAAAATCACATGTTGGAGGAGGCTGGAAGAAAAAGAGAAATCGAACAATAAAACGAAGAGAAAGTACAATATTGAAACACTTAAGGAAGTAGAAATAAAAACTAAATATGAAGAAGTAATAAATAAAATTCTACAACAATGTGACCAAAATTTACAGACAGATCAAGCCTAAGAACAAATTAAATCTGTCATAGGAGAAGCTAGCGAGAAAATAGTTAAGTGCGACTCCAAGAGAAGTACAAACAAAGATTGGTTTGACGAAGAGTGTGAGACGATAGCAAAGGAAAAGAAAAAGATCAGACATCAAATATTATCAGACAATAGAGAGTGTAAAAAACAAGAATATGGAATAATTCGAGGAAGATTGAAAGCTCTGTGCAGAAGGAAAAAGAGATACCACAATAAGTTGAAATTAAAAGAGATAGAAGAGAAGTTTAAAAACAAAGAGGTGAGGTCGTTCTATCAAGAAGGTAAGCAGATGGGAAAAGGTTACCAAAGCCACTGTAGTTATATGAAAAGTAAAGATGAAAATTAAATTAGCGATCCGGTAGAATTAATGACGGAATGGAAAAAAGCATTTTAAAGAATTATTAAATAGTAAGGTGGACCACGAAGCAGTAGACGAGTGGACGGTTGGAGAAGATGCAATAGTTGAAAGGCAGCCTACAGAGGAGGAGGTGGTGACAGCAAAACAAGAAATGAAAAATAACAGAAGTCCTGATAAAAATGACATATGCACAGAAATGATCAAGTTTGGCGGAGAACAACTACAAAGAAAAATATATCAGCTACTAGTGCAAGTATGGAAAAAGAAAATAATGCCATCGGAGGGGTATGAGGCCCGCATATGCCTTTTGCATAAAAAAGGAGACAAACTGAAGTGTGATAACTATAAAGATATAGCCTTACTAGACACGGTATACAAAATCTTGGCAAGAATATTGAAAAATAAACTAAACTGTTACATCGAAAGAATCCTGCATGAATATCAGGCCGGCTTTAAAAAGGATATATCTACTACTATATATCTACAAATCTTCTCATTAAAGAAGATATAAACGACTTGTTATAAAGATAAAGTTCCCCTGCATGTTTCGTTTGTGGATTTTAGAGCAATGGAACATTTGGGCTAAACAAACTGATCCGGCTAGTTAAAATGACACTTAATAACTCTACGCGTGAAATAGCTTGGCAGGGTCATATATCAGATCAATTTACGGTTGCAAAAGGCTTGAGACAGGAAGATCCTTAATCCACGACATTATTCAACTTAGTGTTAGAATCTGTAATCAGAAAATGCAGCATGAAGGTTGAAGAAACGATCATGAAAAATGAGCACCAGTGCTTGGCATTTGCTGACGATTTAACGATCCTACCAAAAACCGAGAAAGAATTAAGAAGAGTTGTAAAGAAAATCGTCCAAAAAGCACAAATATCCGAATTGAAAACTAAATGAAGACAAAACCAAATATATGATCATGATAGGGACAAAAGGAAAAACAGAAGACTTTAGTGTGAGATTTGTAAGTGGTAAAAGCTATACTTTTAAAAAAGTGGATAAATTAGAATACCTGTGTGTAGTTTTCAATGAAATTGGAAATGAGAAATTGGAGCTCAAAGCCGGAATAAGCAAAGAGAATAAAAAATTAGGTAGTTGAAGATCCCTACTGAACTCAAAATACTTTTCTAGACTAAGTAAATTCAGACTATCTAAAACAGTAATTCGACCCACAGTAACATATGCCGGTGAGACATGGAATTAAATAAGAAGAAAGAGGATACTCTGGAAAGATGGGACAGGAAAATATTGAGACGCATATTCGGAGGACGAAAGACAGAAGATGGTTGGGAGAGAAGAACCAACAATAAATGAATGGCTTTATATAAAGAACTTACCATTACCAAGATCGTCAAGGCACAAAGAATCAGATGGTTGGGACATGTGGAAATAATGGCAGCAAACAGAATGCCTAAACTAGTAATAACCAGAAAATTAATCGGCCCCAAAAGAAGAGGTAGACCCAGAACGAGGTGGATTAGTAAAGTGGAGAAAGACCTTAAACACGTGAAGGTGAGGGACTGGAGAAGAAAAGCACAAAATAGAAGTGAATGGAGAAATATTGTGCACCAAGTCCTTCAGAGTAGTTAAGAATGTTGTATATACATATTTAAGTTAAAGTTTTGTTTAAAATAATTATAATAATTAGGATTATTTTATAAAAAATGCCCTAGGCCCTAACGGCCTGTTGTGCGTTAAAATAATAATTCTTCATCTTCCCACATTTTGCTTTCTTCGAATTTTGCCTTGCGTAGTAAGCTGCAATAATGAGTATTTTTGATTTTTCATAATATGAATGTAAGTACTTAAGTTTTCTTCATTTGATAGCCAACTAACTTCTTCTTCTTCTTCTGTACCATGTTCTTTCAGAACGTTGGATACCATCAGAGCTATCTTAATTTTATTTACTGCCACTCTAAATAGCATGATTCAACTATGAGGTTTTTCTTCGTCCTGAAATGCGTTTGCCTGCTACTTTTCCTTGCATGATATTTTGTAGCAACCTATATTTGGGATTCCCATTACATGTTCGAAATAATCTAGCTTTCTCTGGTTGATACTTTTTATGATCTCAGTAGTCTTGCTGAGACGTTCTAGTATTGTGGAGTTTCAAATCTTCTCCACCCAGGAAACTTTTAAAATTCTTCTATAGCACCACATTTCGAAAGTCTTTCGAAAGCATCACAATCCAGGACTGGACACTATAAAGTAAGACCGATAACACGTAGCAGCGAAGTAGACGGATCCTTATATTTTTAAGCCAGGAATATTTATTTCTTCCGATGCCCCGTTTTCTTCTATCTTTCCTTCGATATTAAGCTTTAAGAAGTGGTACTTGGAATTTCGAAATATATGACCCAGAAAAGCAGTTTGTCTTCTTTTTTACTATTGGCAGCAATTCTGGTTATCTACCCATTCGATTTAATACTTTGACATTTGTTGTGTGATCTGTCCAGGACATTTTAAGTAGTCTCCTAAATTCCCACATTTCAAAGGCATCCAATCGATTCTTCACATTGGAATTTATGGTCCAGGTTTCTACACCATATAGCAGTATGGAGTAAATATAACATGTTACGCTATTTACATAATATACAGAAGAAACATATATATATGAAACATAATTTCTTTGGTTTGGTCTACATTTGATGTTATCCATGTCCTTAAGAATTGGTAGGTATCCACACTCTCACACTCTTAATGACAATATTCTCAACGATTAATTGGATCTTTGCATCTGCTGTCTTGGTGTCATTTTTCAGGCCACCCCTTAAAGTCAGGCCACAAGCGGTGCAAGAAAGTGTATGACATGTTGCATTTGGGTATATTGATGTTTCTGATATTTGACAACATTTAAATTGCCAAAACTATTCTTTTGTGATTTATTGTTTCAAAAACAATAAAGCTGAATAAAAAATTTATTCTGTTGAGGAGAAAGTAGCAATAATAAAAATGTTTTATTCAGACAATAATGCGTGAATTGTCAGTTCTGTAATTAGCTCAGGTGAAACCTCATCATCGCTAGCAGCCTTACTGATTAATATTTATTGAAATGCAATATATATTTTTAATTTTCCAGCTTACTAACAGAGAACAGTATCATAATATAGAAAAAATAAAAATTGCCAAATGGACTTACATGGTCGCGTGTGGACTCTTTACTGACAGACAAACACAGGACGGTGAACGACACCAAACTAGCTCAAGTATGTATACGTTGCTCTGCTTCGCGTCTGATATGTTTAAGAAGCTAAACGATGTTAACAGGCAATACCTACAAAATTCACGATTAAGAATTGGTAAGTAAAGTGACTAATTGGTGTTTTATATAAAATATTTAGAAGTGAATAAAAAATGTGTTAATGACACAAGAGTTTTAACCTTGTTTAGGCCTGAGCCTCTTTAAGGAATGGGTTACTTCTTTTTTTAACGGAGTTGTGGGGGTGTGATCATAAACATCAATTAAAAGATGCCCGATGTGAAGAAGTAGTAGACTACTAAAGAGCAGGAGGAGCAGAAGGTGACTTCTATGTGTGATTGATAGGAACGCACAAGAAGAAGTGGGATCTACCCAGCATGCCAGTTGAGGTACTTCAAGGGTTACCAGCCATACAGTAGGAATGGCTCTTTATCAGCGTTTTTCTCGCGCAGTCTTTATCTGCGATATTGGATGGGGAATGTTTCTAGAATTTCAAAATACTCATCAGGAAGTTCATGTCCAGTGTTGTGTAGAAGTTCTGTTGAAGGAAACGGAACTTTCTTAGTGGGAAACCTGGTGAGTATTTGCCCTTTATGATTGCAGCTATGGTTCTTAGAACATACTTCCTGCTAAGGGTTAGGATTCTGTCCCTATTTGGCGTGATGTTGGCCAATATGTGAATGTGGACTGATGGACACGACCAATTATTTTTTATGCAGTATCTTAGAATTCTACGTTTTGTAGCTGCGATGGAATTCAGTTGGTGACTCTTAAAAAAAATGTAAACGCATGCCTTGTATTGGATTATTGGTCTGACAAAACTTCTGTAGGTGTGCAACAAAGTTTTGGAAGACGTTCACTTTCAGGAGATTAAACCTCTGTCTCACTCTATCTAGGGATTCCTGGACGTCGGCCTTCCAGCTGAGAGTTCTTGTAAAACGAACTCCCAAGTAGAGAACTGAGTTCCTGAAAATGAGGTCTTCACCCAAAAGTGATATGAGGCCCTAGATGTCACGACAATAATGGGATTTGAATAAAATTTCTTAAGTTTTGGAGGGGTCCATGGTCACCCCCCATTTGTTGCACCACTTCACGACTCTGTCAAGGTATTCTTGCGATCTCTCGAATACAGACCGTCGTTCGCACTCTCTGTGAAAGCCTGAAGTGAGAATGGCCGTATCATCAGCGAAAAGGAGGAGAGACTTTGATCCTTGCTGTGGGCGGGGAATGTCACTATTGTAGACTGTGTAAAGTATTTGTGCAAGTATTGAGCCTTGGATCACTCCAGCTTGTGGACTGAAGGGGGTGGAGAGATGGTCAGTTACTTTGATCCTGATCGTCCGATGAGAGAGATAGGAATTAATAAGTTTAACAAAAGGTGTTAGCAGTCCAGCAAGGTGGAGATTTTCAATCAGGCCTGTGTGCCAGACCTGATTAAATGCCTTCTGGACATCAAGGAATATTCCCATAATGTGTTTCCTTTCGTTAGTTGATTGTGAAATGAAAATTGTTGATTTAACCAATGCATTTTGTGTGGAGTGTCCAGCCCTGAATCCGAATTGGTAGTCTGGAATTAAGAAGTGAGCGTCTAAGAATTCTACGAGTCTCTTCTTAAGGATCCTCTCGTAGATTTTACCTAGGGGGCTCAGTAGTGAGATAGGTCTGTATGATTCAAGATTGGTGAGGGTTTTCCCTTTTTTCGGGATCATTACGGTGCTGGCCAGCTTCAAAGGAATAGGAAAGTAGCTCAGCGCTAGAGGTGCATTGATTATATTGGTAAGCAACGGGATAATATTCTGTGGAAGATTTTTGAGGCATCTTCTGTGGATGCCATCTGGGCAAGGATATGTGTTTTTGCCTAAGTTACACATCTGCCTGACGGTGTCCTCAGTTACAGGTGCCATCATCGGGTGAGGATGTGGTCCATCATGTGCTTGAGGGTAGTAGCATATATCTTCTCCTCTCCGTTCGGCGAATTTTTTGGATCTTTCACTGAAATTTGGGCTATTAGGGGAAATGAGGGTGGCCTGTAATGTGCTTCGGCCTTGTCTTGTGAATTGTTTAGGATGAGATTATTTACTATGAGATAAGATTGTATTTGACTTTTTTGTTTCGTTAGGACTTTCAGTTTGTTTTTTAATCACAAATTCAATTTGTGGTGAAAGAGTTAGAGTATATGGATTGTACCCTGTTTGGATTGTACCTTGTTTGTAAAAAAATTGGAAAATTTTTTTTATTTTTGGAAAAAGTGCATTTCAAAAACCAAACACTGTTTTTTAAGAGTTTCTTTACAAGTGTGTCTGATTCTGCTGTAAAGTGTTCTTAAAAACATCTTATTAGGTGATCAGGCTAATTAATCGTTATTCTAAATATGCAATTAATTGCTGTTCTTATTTACATGCAAATGAAATAAAACTTGTACTTGTTTTTTTATCTTTTAGTTAAATCTTATATATTTAGTTAAATCGTATCTCTACATACCTATACCATGCATTTTTTTGTATTTAACTATAGCGGATCTACTTAAAAATAACTGAAATACATCTACACAGTGCTGAATACGGCTCTGATTAGAATGACTCGTTTATCGGCAGTCTAGAGCAACACGGGCCTAAGAGTTTTGGCAACACTGATCTGCATGTGCCAAATATTCCGTTCTTAACGTGAAATAAAGTATAGAGCAGATGTAATGCTTAAAAAAAACCACTCTACTCTTCTAGCCTTGACTCATACCACTGCTACATCGTTTTTTATTTAGACTGATTTTTTGTAGTTGTCTTTAATTTATTTGATCTAGTATTGGGACCGTGCAAGTTCGGAACACCGACAACTGGTGTCGTAAATCAGCAAAATTTACTGCGCTTTCATGTTAGATCGAGGTTACTGGATAACTGTCAAGGACGTAGCCCAAAAAAAGAATAAGAAGAAAAAGTAAGATTGAGGTTATGTCGGTATGTTATTAAAAGGTAAACGTTGTATGTAATGTAAATACAAATAAATGTATTATTAAATTACAGCATTACTGTTAATATGGATGCAATAATAAAAACTGGATTTGAGAAAGTAAATCACCAAATAACTTTTCAACCAAGCACTGAGTCAAAGGGAAAAGCTTTAGTAGTGGCAAATGTCAAAAAAGAATGGAAAAATTATGTGGAAGAATTAAGAAAAATAAATTACCATAAATAATGCTAAGGCATAAATTAGCAGGTTAAGCCCATGATATCATCATATTGGTTTGAACAATTAATTCTTTTCCTGTAAACTTTTAGACAGCGAATATATCTTAATGCATCTTCAGAAAAACTTGAACTTGATGCATTTTTGTAAACTTCATAAAAAATAAAATTTAAACATTAAACTTGATTTTTGGGTTAAAATGAACTCTAAGTGAGTTTTATGAAACTAAAATTTTCACTTAAAAGTGAACTTTTATTTATTATATATTTCAAACTGACTTTAAAATCGGGCGCAAGAATAATGCATAATTTAGGTTATGTTACTTATGCTTTTTTATGATATAAATCCACTTTTCTCTTTGTAGTAGCTTTGTGTTTCGAAGTTGGAAACGAATAAAACTTAAATTGACAATTTTTTGTTGTATGTTTATAATTTATAATACAGCATTTCCTAAATCCCATTTTCTTCAGTGACAGAAAGTTTAAATAAACAAACGAATATGAAATATGACAATTGACTATATGAATTTATGAAATCTATGAAATGTGCAGTAAAAAATGCAAGATTTCTCCGCTACTCGCGCACGATCGTTTCTCGTATCCCCTTCAAGTACTTGCACGTCGCCAATACAAATTGTAAAAGATACGCTCTGATATAACACATTTTTTTCTAGGTATAAGCCACGGACCAATTGCAGCGGGTGTAGTCGGTAGCAAAAAACCCTTATATGATATTTGGGGCGACCCAGTTAACATGGCATCAAGAATGGACAGCACTGGTGTTCCAGACCGAATACAGGTGTTAGAGCATACCGCCGAAGTCATACAGAAGCTCGGGTATAAGTGTACGGAAAGGGGGAATATACAAGTCAAGGGCAAACAAGGAAAACTGAAGACGTTTTTTGTGGATATAGATGAAAATTTTAACTTGGTTAGAGACAATTTGTGCAGTAATGGGACAATTAAGAAAGCTTGAGAGTAGTGTGTATATATTGTGTGTTTATATTTTTGTAAATAACGAATATATTTATTTATTTTATTTTAAGTTATTAGTCTATTTTTTATATAAAAATGTAGTATGAAGTCCTTAGAAAATTCGTCTCTAAAAGCGTCAAAAATAGTCCACGTATACAAAGTTTATCCATATAAAGAAAAGAGAAATAATAAAAGCGTCAAAAGGAATAAGAGCTAGGTTCTTTAATTACAGTATCATTAATATCTAGATTTCCACTGAAGATAAAGAAGACGAGGAGAAGGATATATTTTATATGAAATTAGAAAGCACTGATAGAAATTGTTCTGAAGCTATTTTCTTGTGGCATTTTAAAGGAATTAGTATTTAAATGAAGATAAGCCACAATTAAAGGTTAAAATACGTTTATTGACGTTTCAATTTCCACTTCGGAAATTCGAGAACGATTTCGAACGAAAAACCGGAAAAACTTCGGTTGCAACCGAAAAATATGGTTTTCCGCAAATCGCCAGGAAATTTTGACATTCCTGTCAAAAGGAAGAAATTTTGACATTCCTGTCAAGGAAATGATATTTCCGTACAGTTGTTAGTGTTTTACATAAATTAGACATAAGTTTGACAATTCAACCTCAATACGTTTCCATAGTAACCCCAGTAATTTTATTAGGAATTTCAAGGCACCATTTATTTGGGAATAAAATTATCGCGTTTTTTTTTAAATCAATCAATATCTGTCGAATTTTAAACGATTTGCGGAAAAATAGTATGTTTACCTCGTAGGAAAAGCCACATTCCTGGACTCTGTGTTGCTAAGTCTCGGCTTGCGCCTCGAATTAGCAATCTTCACAGTCGTCCAGGAATGTTAAGCTTTTCCTACCCGGTAAACAATGTACTATTTACGAAAATCCGCTAATAAAATTATTCTACATGTTTGGATATTTTAAAGTTAGAATAAAAACCCACCTTTCGATTAACCCTACATAATAAGTCAAGTACAAAATTTTATTTTTTTTTTATTTACAAATTCGCACCAACCCGAAGGTTATTAGCGAGAATCAGATTTACAATATTAAATATATTTTATATTAACAAAATTAATAGCTTCTAAGTAGTTTAACATATTTGTGAATGAACAATTTGCACCAAGTGCTTTCTCTAAGTTTATTGAGATACCATTAGTAATTCTTGCTGTGGAGAAAACTGCAGAGTCTACAACAACATGTTTCACCGAGAGTTTGTGAAGAACTTATGCGTGGCACTGGTATGATCTAATCTAAGACGAGTTATTGTCACTTGATCCCTTCTTTTAATGGGGAAACATCTCCATGGTTTAATGTTCGGTTTAATATTCCGAAGATTGGACACTGAAAATTCCCACCGGTTTTGCCACTCACTTAGGATCCACGATTTGATAACACTTGAAACATCACTAGCTACAGTCCGTCCCAAACCCTTCTTTCAGTGCGTCATAGTTGTTCGAATTCTCTCTAACGCATTAAGCTAGAAGTGACAGAAAAAAACATGAGTCTCTGATTATTATACATAGAACTTAGAAAATTAGGTATCGTTCACGGGTTTTCGCATATTAAAGCGAATTCTACTTACGAACGTATAATTGGTTGGAGTTTAGAATACGCTAAATAGATATCCAATCAATTATGCAAATAAATATAATTTGACACAGATGATCTTGATAATGACAGTGACAGTACTTTCACAATGTCAACTGATAAAATGATAATTGCCATTCCAGGTTAGTATTTTCAGACATTTTAACTACAGTGAAAATTAAATTTTGTATTTATTGTCATAAAAATATTTTAAATATTCCGAGATATGCCGAGAATAAAAAAACACTAATATTAAAATTATTAAATTAGTTTCAATTAGAAAAAGAGGCTGAGACATCTTTATTTCAGTTTCTGTCGTTCGCGAATCAGATTGTGAATTCCGGAATGATATTGAGAAAATATCTTAAAATAATACCTTTATGGATATTTATATGTATTAAAACGGTTCTTTTTAGAACCACGACATTTTCTTGAAATGTAGGACATAATTGATACCAGCCACACATCTAGTGTAATCATTAATTTTCAAGAATCAGATTCTGAATGGGATTATAGATTGTTTGAAATATAATATTCATTTTTGTTATTCATAAAAAAGAATGTAAACTTACATTCGGTATCTTGTTTTTTAACTAAACTCCATTAACACGGTTTCATCTGGATATCGGAACTGGTAGATTAACTCAAAAATCAACTGCTTCACTATTTAAACTATTTTCACTATTTAATGACAACTCTTCACAAAATTAAACTATTGGCTGCCACACAAACTTATCAGAAAATTACTTATCCAAATATGACTGATTTAAATCGATATTATTTTATCACAGGAATGTTTACTTTGATGCCTTGCAATTGTCAGTAATTTTTTTTACCTTGCAGTCAACTCTTAAAAGATTCTAGGAGGAAGCGTTATTTTAAATAAACAAACCTTCCAATTCCCTAGTGTTTGTAATAAATAATAATAAATCCATAAACAAATCTTAGCTAATTAAGCACTTTCCATGGAATGTATAAAATAGAACAGAATAGAATAGAATTATGACAAACTGCTATGCATTAAAAAAATACCTTTTCACGTTTAGCCGATTACGATCCTGCAACTGTCAGATTTAATTAAAATGTCATGCAGTAATTCTCGACATTCTTAAAATCCTATATGACGTCAAAATTAGTGACGCACTGAAAAAAGGGTTTGGGACAGACTGTATCACGTATTTCACAATAATAGAGTCAGCTGAGTTGACGGCTTCACGCGCACACTTATCTGCTTCAAATTTATTTAATGATTGGTTTGTGAGCAGTCACTGTCGGATACTAGGTCGTGTGGGATTTGCATCTGTAAGTGTCTTAGAAGAATTTTTCTTAATTTGGTAATTCGTGTCTTTGTAGATCTGTCTTTAGTATAGGGGTATATTTTGCTTAACATATCGATGAGAGCTGTAAAGTTGTTTGTATAATTTTCAACGGTAGTAACTGGATCGGGTGAATTCTTTATGTTGTCGAATAGGTCTTTTATCTGAACATAGCTTTAAATTTGCCGGACACAATATAAGACAAAAAGAAGACCAATGGAACAAAATTCTTATAAGTTGGAGACCGTGGGAATACAAACAAAGCAGAGGAAGGCCCCAAATGAGATGGGCAGATGATATCAAGAAGCACGTGGGCTCTAGATGGATGACCGTAGCGACAGACAGAGAAGAATGGAAAAGGATTGGGGAGGCCTATGTCCAAAGATGGACCGAAGAAGGCTAATTAGATAGACTAGATAGCTTAAAATAAATGGCGGTGACTGCTGGTTTATGAATGCTTCTAGAGATTTACCTTTAGTTTGTTTTTTCTAAGGATTAGATGGTATTTGGTATAGATGGAATAGATGGTATAGATGGAATCAGAATCAGATCGACGACGTATAGACGCCTTTAAAATGTGGACATGGAGACGCCTGCTTCGAATTCCATGGACGGCTCGCCGTACAAATATCTCGGTTCTGGATGAAATTAAACCGGATCAGCGTCTCTCCAGTACCGTTTACTCTAGAATTTTAAAGTTCTTTGGCCATATCCATCGAAATGATCACAAAATGGAGCGGTTGGTGGTCCAAGGAAGGCCTCAGACTCAACGCCAACGCGGAAGATCTCCACAGCGATGGGCGGACATTACTAAAAAGCTTCTCAATAAACAGTATACTGAGGTATACATATAACTGATGACCGCGACCAGTGGAGAAATATTATCAATCAAACTGTCCGAGCTGCTGAAGCCCAGTTATGAACTACAACACATCTACTAAGATGTTAATGACTGTGATGATGAGATGGTATTTCTGCTGGACTGGTAAACTTTGGTGTATTAGTGGTATCATTGGGAGGGGAGAAGGATTTAACGTATCGTCAACAGTTCTTTTTGAACTGTTCTGTGAAGATTCAATTTTCATATGTAAGGTAGTTGTTTCGCTCGCAGTTTGTTTTATATTTAGTTGATTTTCTGTAGTTGCGGTGCCTGTTTGACTTGAAGTAAATGTCGGTGTAATGGTTGATATTTCTGGAGGGCTACATGTTGAGATTTCTTCTGCTGTGGTTGGAGAAGTAGGATTTGGGTTTGGGTTGATAGGGTTTTTGCAGTTAGTTGCCGTATGCCCATTTTGTTTACAGTTGTAACACGTTAGGTTGCCGCTTGATAAAAAGATTCTATATGAAGTATTATCGTAATTAATTAAAAACGATTCTGGAATTGTTAGATCTGTTGAGCTGATAAAGATTTGTCTTCTAAAACTCATTATATGACTAAATTCGCGTAACGGTGCACCAATTTTTAAAAAGAACATTGTAGATAGATTAACAAGCCCCACGAATTCAAGTTCTTTAATTCATACATCATGAGGAATGGATGGGCAAACATTAGAGAGAATGATTCTTTCGTAGGGAGTTATATACCGTCGAGCTTGTTTAATCTGGTTATTAACTTCAATGTTGCTGTTATTTTCATTCATAAATTTTTCTACGATATTTTCAGATGATAAATATAAACATATTCTACTGTTTGATAATCTAGAGCAGAATAGTATATTTTTTGGATGGATGATTTCTCCCAGGGGGAGGAGGTAATCTTGTATTTTCGCATCTTCAATGGAATTAAAAATGATAGCTTGTCGTTTTGACGGAAATTTTTGTTGTGTTAGTGCGGTAGAGTAACTTCTTTGTGTAGAATTATCCATTTGAGAATTGCCTGGTAAATTTATTTCATTGACTTGCGACAGATTCGTTGATGTTTAAACATTCCTAAAGACGGACCTGTCCGCCGCCAGAAAAAAACCGGCTGGAGATACATGTCAATGGTAATTAAATGTTTTTGTTTATCGTCAAGCAAATATGGATATAAATTTTTTCAATGATGTTAAATACGTACTAATTATATATTTTCGGCGAAATCTACAGTAAAACTGTACTTACAGACTAGCAAAAGTGAGTTCAGTTGATCACTAATAACTTCACAAAA